AGTTACTGAGAGGCACTTCCTGTTAACATTTTGGTATGAGCTCATCCTGCCTGTTTCTCTATAGTTTCTACATCTGCAGCAAGAGGGAAGCGTGGCATTTAAAATCGTCACTGCAGCTGCTGGAAACTTGCAAGTGAAGACCGTAATTTATCTTGAGGGAAGTTGATTTCTTTTGATCTGGGAAATTTCTCGAATGGGCTTCCTTAATGGGGAAATGTTAAGTCACTCACCTCCACCCCGTCTCCTGCACGGTCTAAAGTCTAAAAGGCAACAGTGAAACATAACGAGGACTGAATTAAAAGACATTTTGTAAATTATTTGTTGGTGACCTCAAACAGGCTTGAGGGCTTGCAACTGTGGGCAAAGGGCCAGATGTCTGGGGAGAAGGCTTGGCCTGGGGCCTGGGGCAGGTCTGTTAGGGCTGCTATAACAAAGTACCACAGACTGGGCGGCTTATAAACAACAGAAAGGTATTTGTCACAGTTGTGGAGGCTGCAGGTCCCAGATTAGAGGGTCGGGTTCTGGTGAGGACGCCTTAGGGTTACAGACTACAAATTTGTTGTATCCTCATATGGTGGAAAAAGGGAGACCAACTTTCTGACCTCTTCTTCTAAGGGCACTAATTGCATTCATGAAGATTTGATTCTCCTGACCTTCCTAATATAATCACAATGAGGATTAGAGTTCAACATATGAATTTTGGAGGGACACATTCAGTCACAACAGAGGGTCAAAGTTGATGGGGAATTTCCTTGAGGAGAGATTTTTTTTTTTTTAAACTGTGTAAGACGACTGTAAAACTTAGTAGCTGAAAGCAACATTTAGGATTTCTTATGGTTCTGTGGGTTGAAGGGGATTGGTTGGGAGGTCCTCGTTTGGGGTCTTATACAGTGGGGGCGGGAGATGCCTGAAGGCTCAAAATGACTTCTTTACTCACATATCTGGTACTGCAGCTGACTTGGTGGGTGCATGGGATGTGGCCAGGTATCGCTTCTCTCTCCACATGGCTTTGCACATGGCTATCTTGGCTTTTCTCTGTGTGCTGGGCTCAGAGTAGTTGGACTTCTTATGGAAGCATCCATTCCAAAAGACCACAGCAAAAGCTGTAAGGCTTTTATTGACCTAGTCATGGAGGACGTGCAGCATCTCTTCTGTCATTTTCAGTTGGTCGAAAATTACTTCTCTAACCAGCACAAAGCGTAGGTAGGTACTCTATGACAAATCTGAAATAATATTTTAAAGTCCAAATGCAGTGTCTCATCAATAACACAAAAATACCTATTGTCATATAGCATTTACTGTGTGTCAAAAACCCTGTGAGGTAGGTCATTTCCTCTCTTTCAGGTAAAGAAACTGAGGCACAAAAAAGGTAAGGTGACTTGCGAGTGGCCACAGAGCTAGTAATCAGAGAAGCTTTAATTTAAACCCAGGCAACCTGGGTCAGGCTTCCTAAAGAACAGGAGAATCCAGGGCACCTGGGTGGCTCAGTCAGTTACATATCTGACTTCAGCTCAGGTCCTGGTCTCAATTTTTGTGGGTTTGAGCCCTACTTTGGGCTCTGTGCTGACAGCTCTGAACCTGGAGCCTACTTCAGATTCTGTGTCTCCCTCTCTGTCCTTCCCCCGCTCACAGTCTGTCTCTGTCTTTCTCTCAAGAGTAAATAAATATTAAAAAAAAAAAAAAAAAAAAAAAGGAGAACCCATTTTAGTGTTTCCAGCACTGGGGTCTGAAACTTCAAACAAGTATATTCCCTATTAGAGGTGAGTTGAGGGTTGCAACAGTCATTTTGCTGTATTCTTTTCTCCTGGGTAATTGACACCTTTTCACTGGAATTGTAAAAAAAACTAGAAACCTGTAACATAAAGACCTAGGTCGTATTTGGAACTTTCTCACTTGTCTTGGCCCTCATCCCCTCTGGAAACCTGAAATTGACACCCTTGTCTCCTACACAGCCCAAGGCATTTCCATACACAAACCCCCTGACCATATGCATGGAGGACACATTTATTTTGAAATGCATGTGCAGCAAACTTTCTATGATGTCATCAGGGATCCTGGTCTTCTCTTGCTGGCTATAGGATCTTATCATACTGCTGGGGACAGCACTTGTCCACTAGAGAGTTACTACTCAGTGCTCCATTCACCACTGGTGTCTTACTCTGTAGTCTGTCCACCTAACTTCCCCAAGATGCCTAGTGGCCACACATTTCCTTAAATCTGTTGGAAACTACAGACTGGCACCTCAAAGTTCCTCCCACCCTTGAAGGGTAATCCTTTCTGGAGATTTCTGTATTTCCATTGAGGAATGTGCTCTAACCAAACTTGAGGTTACCAAAGGAAGGGCAGTGTAGCTGGGCCTGGAATATTCTAGTCCTGGTTTGACAATGACCTTGGACAAGTTACATGCCCTCATTTCAAGGAAAAGAGTTTCCAAATCTTCTTAGCAAAGATTTCTTTGCCTTCAATGAACCATCGTCCGTGACTCTGCACTTACTAAATTAGAACAGTTTCTCCATTCTATTAATCAAAGAAAAAATAACCCCCAATTAAGCTTCTGTTTAGTATAAGCTAATTATGGCTATTGTCTTAGCTTATTAAATTCTAGCCAGTGGAAACATTTCCCTTAACTTGGGCAACCTTATCTTAGGTAAATGTATAGAATCCTCTCAGCTTTTGGGATTCTGAAAATTGTGCATACTCCATTAACTAAAACTCCTGGCTGTGTTGACAATACCCAGTAAATCCAAGTTTTGTGCCTCCATCACTTACCTTAAATTCAGAGTGATGATATCTATCCTTGTTGGGCCCTCCTTTGTCCTTACAAGCCCTATGAGATGGCCCTTTTTTTGGGCACAAACTCTGTGAAGGGACTGCCCACTCAAATCTCCCCTTGGTTTTCAGGGCCTTGCTAACTTGCATCTCCTACCAACACGACCAACATGTGCCATCTATTTTTAGGAGTTCCTTGAAGGTTCGCTCCCATAGTAACCACACTGGGACAGTCAAAGAGCTGATGGAGAGTGTGGGGGATTCCAATTAGAGTTAGTCTTCAGATCACACAAAATCCAGAGAAGTCGGCTTAACATAAAGATTAATTTCCAGTGGATTAAAGGATAGAACAACATCAAAGATGGCAGGACGGACCTGCTACAGTCACCCTCCGCCCCATGAAGTCTGGCCCCCTTCCAACTCCTCTCTCTTTCCCTCCAGCCTGCAATAACTGCCTACCAGACTCCAAGTCAAGGTTGTCCCAACCTAGTGATCAGAAATACTATTGTTATAAATAGCTCAGCTCTGGCTGCTGTGCATGTAGGGAGTTGCTAGGAACATGATAATGCCCAGCACATTTAGGGTGGAGCTAGGGAAAGATTAACAGGGGTGAAAGGGTAGCCCTCTCAGGAGAGGGATCAAAGCACCAGCAGCCAGAAAACTTCTAATCCACTCAGGCCTGCCCCAGAACTGCGGATCCCGAGCCTCTCATCCCCTTCACACACTAGATACGGCAGATTATATTACTGTACCCAACTATTCACTCTCCATCCTCTAGAACATGTTCCTGCCTGCCACCCCATGACTTGCACGATTTCCTGTGAGAATACACCACCCACCTGCCACTGACACTGGGCTTGGCATGGGATTTGCTTTGGTCAGTGGATGTCACTGTGTTTTGCCAGCTTTTTTCCTTCCCTCTGTAAGAATGGCATGTTCCAGACAGGGTGTGCCCTGAAGTGGACATTGTGAGATGAGAAGATACAGGCAGCAGGTCGTGGCCAATGCCTGCAATCAGTGACATGCAATAGGGATGGGGGGGGGGGGGGCAAAACCTGTCTCTTGTCAACGTGAGATTTGAGAGTTGTTCTTGCAGCCTAATCTGGCAAATACTAATGTGCTAGGGGTCATAAACTCCATGCTATGGGCAAGCAAAGTAAATGAGTGAGGCAGAGTGTGTAAGGCCATGGGGATGGCTGGGCTGTGGCACATGGGAGAGAATCAGTCCAAGGTTAGTCTCTAGCACTAAACTTTGCTATGAGTTAAAATAAAAAATGCTGTTTATTTGGTTAAACATCAAAGGCCAAAATTTTAATAACAAGCTGACTGGTATTTACTACTTGAAAGTTTAGACTATTAAAAAACATGTAGTTAAAAACAAACATAATGACCCAACTGCTTGTTTTTCATAACTATTTAGCTCTTTAGAGATATTTTAGGCCCCAATCTCTAGTTGAAAAGAAACAATCTTCTGAAATTTGGTGACTATTCAGTTTACTTGTGATTTGTTTTGTTTTAAAAGGATATTATTTATCTTGAAAGTTCTCTCTTAAGAAATTCTTTGACTTAGCTTCCCCAACATCAATATAAACTTCTGCAAAACCAATCTAATCATACCACAAAAATAACCACCATCTTTCTTAAAGAAAGTGACTCCTTATGAATGTGGATTAGCAAGGACATAGATGGATCCCATAGAATAGTTCATTTAATGGATTTTATTGGATATCTCAAACTGATATCAAGTTTGAGATAAGGGAAATGAAAATAATGTGATTCTGTTGTATAGAGAATCACATATTATAACAGTTCTAATTGAAATTAAGCCTTTCTTATTGGAGAATTGTAAGTATTTCAGTATTACTACAGCTGACTACATATTCTCAAGCTTATATTTTCTGCCAATGGATTTTATCTTTTGCCAACATGTCAGCCAGAAAAAAGGAATCACTTGTCCCATATCGGCCTCAATGGGAAATTGCACAATATCCAAAATCTGGGGCCAGAGAGTGGGTCAGAGGTGCCTAACATCACCACTCCTATGAAGAAATGTGCTTCTACATACACGGAATTCAGATGAGATCTCAGACCATATTTTCAGGCTTTCCTTTTGATGTGAAATTAGTAACAGGAGCAGCATTTTTTTTCCATCTTTATTCTCAAATTGATTGTTAATGAGAACACACATGGAGCAAATTAATAATATTCATAATATTCTAGCCACCAGGGTCTTTTTTTTTTTTTTTTGCCTTGAGAGACCTTTCCAAAAGGAAACCTGCTCCCTGGCATTGTATATTATTCCCAGTTTCCAGGTGGAAAAATGAGACAGATGGAGTGACATAAAAACACTGGGGATTGTAGTTTTAAAAACAAGACAAAGATTCAGATCTTTTTGCTTTAATTCTTCTCTACATTACCACAGTAAAATATTTATGGAAGTCTAAGAGATTACTGATCTGCAGTAATGACCAATGACTTTACACTAATGGAGCTATGAAATAAACTCATCAATGAAGTAAGTGGAAAAAGTGGGAAAAAGTTCAAATGAAAGAGTAATTCATTATTCTCTTTATACAGTACTGAAACAACCATAACATTCAAACACCAGGAAGTCCTAAGAAATATTAAATACTAATTCGTAACTGTGAAATGCTGTAACATTTTGAAGTACCTTCTGAATGACCAAAACATGAAATTTTGTTCAGTGTGACTTTAATTTTTTACACAGAACTATGTATTTTTAACAACTGGTAATCCATGTCAGATATACACAAAAATCTTAATAGACTAGAATGCTCAATGAGTAGAGCTTCACATTGCTTCGTTGTTATGGACTAATGAGCTTATAATTCAATGAACCCCTTTTAACAAGTTCTAGTCTACAGAATGGCATGTTCAAATAGTTTGGTCTTACTAGTTTTATTAACAAAAATCCCCGATTCCTTTATAAGGTGTTTAATTCCTCTTAAGATCACCTTTAAAGGGCCTGACTTAGTTTTTATCTAGGTAAATGAAAGTGTGACCCTCCAGCCCCCAGTCTGTGGGTTCTTCATGAGTCACAGTTCAGTGTAACTCAACACAGTGACCTTCCCAAGAGTTTTCCATCAGATATTTCATAGTAATTTTAATACTTTCCACAGAGTATCCTGTCTTTCTGTAGGCTTTTGTCAAATTAATAATGGCATGTGGTGTTCCTTAGCATAACCTGCCAAAATGTGATAATTTCCTTGGAAGAAAAGCCATGAGCTGCAATCACACGTCTGAGCTGACAGACATCCAAATGGATCCTATATAAAAAGAAAAGGTTTGTGTCTTCTGGAATATGGATGTCGACGTTTAATAAGTTCAAACATATCCCAACATAAACATCTTCAAACTTGATGGGTTTTACATGACTCATCATTTCATAGATTCTTGGCACCAAATCTCTGGACATTATATAACCCAACCCACTGCAGTAGGGAGGAAACACCTTGAAGGGATACTCTTGGTACGAAATATGGGCTTTTTGGTAAAATCCTCTATAGGAATAGTTATCGATTAGAGGATAACCTGTGAAAAACTTCTCTGAATGGTTTACATTTAAAAGATACTTCACTAAGTTGCCAGTATTGATGAAAACATCAGTGTCTGTCTTCATGATGTACTTGGCATTGGGGCAAAACTCAGTTACCCACCTGAATGCCATAATTGTTTTCAAGGTCAGATTATTATATGTGTCTAAAAAATCTTGTCGTATTATGTCACCATAAAGAACGTGCTCATCCTCTAGGGACAGTGCTAGCACTTTGTCTTCCTTTTCAGCCGGCTGACCTAGTAAAAAGAATGTAAGAACCTCATATCCCCACCAAGATTTCTTTTCACCCCAAGTAACTCTAATGGCCTGTCTAGCTTTCACATCTGAAGGGTGTGAGGTCACCAGGATGACAAGAAATGGGTTTTGATGAGAGCAGTTTGAATGCTCTCGAAGTGTGAAGCTAAAGTCTTGTCTGTAAATTGGCTCATACTCATAGAAGTACATCCAGTTTACACGTTCTATCACATTGTAGTGGGGCAGGCTGAGGTACCACATCACAAGGAAACTCAGGAGAGACAGCAGCAGGAGGCTCCATTTGAGGGATCTCAGTGACATCCTACTTGGAAGAGCGGTCAAGAGAGCAAGGGCCATCCAGCAGCTCAGAAGCACACGAACCTCAGGTTCTGGAAAGTTTATCAAAGACCTGGTTAGTACTCCACCACCCAAGACATAGTACTAAATGGTATCTGATTGTCTACAGAAAGTGAAAGAGTTGGGACAACAAAAGCTCCCAAGCAAAACCGAGAATCCTGACCCCAACCTACTTAATTTCATTTAACTATAAGCAAATGGTCACCAATAACCAAGAGTGCATTTTAGCTTTTTACATCAAGACCAAGGTTAAAAACATATCCTTCATTACTTCGGGAAAATTAATACTTCCTGTTTGATTTAAATAAGTGTTGAAATATGATTTTGTCTTGGATATCCAGAGGGAAAGAGATAATGGAGGGCTTAAAAAATAAATCTGCAATAATAGTAAAAAAAGCTCCATTTCTTCTTCACCACTATGGAAAAAGAAGTGAAGGATTTAATGCAAGGAGATATTACCAGCAACATGTCCAAATAAACCAAAGGTCTTTCTCAGCTGTGTGATCGGATGTGGATTCTAGCAAATCTGGAATAAGGAAAACCCAGTGGCTACAATTATGCAAGTGAGATGAGATGAGAGCAGAGACTCTTCACCTGAAAGGCAAGTCCTCTACACACAAACAGGATAAGCATCTCCAGAGTTTTAAATGGCCAAGACTGTGAAATAGCTTTTTCCTTGCCCAAAACACATCCCAGCTCCCTTTTACCTCACTGGCTGAACTCCATGCTCAGTCTGGACAGCAAGTGCTTAAATTAAAGGTCTGTCCATAGGACTGAGTTTTCACGTGTTTCCCATTCCCATTCAGAAATCCTGCACCAGATCAGAATCATGGGATGGACCCTCCAGCTGAGATGAGAAGAGCAGTAATGTCACAGCATTCAGACTGGAGTGACGGTGTCACTTCAGTTCTGCACTAGGTCCCAAGGATGAGGCTGGCTTGCAAGTCAGGATCCTACAGGGCTCTCCTGGCACCATGATCTCAAGACAAATATGTGCTAGGTGATTCCTAGACCTTCCACACCAACAGACAACACCAGGCACTAAGACCAAAGGAAGGAGATGGGAGAAGGAGACCTCCAGGCAATAGGTAAACATGGAAGGACAGTGTGACACAGACTGTTTATATCAATGCTAAGGGACTGCAGAATAAGGGATGGATGAACAACATGAAGGGCAGACTGAGTTGGCTCCAGTGGTGCCCTTTCACCCACCATCATCTGGGAGGAAGGGTCCTGGGAACCCAGAATCTGTTATGAAGGGCATATGTTAGTGTCATTATTTGGGAAGGCTGGCCCCCCAAGGGTTCTACCTTGAGTCAATCTTAGGTCTTTGGACGCACAGCTCTTATGCCTCTTAATACTATGAAAATGACAGGACCTCAAGACTCCTTGCCCTATTTGGCCATATCTTACCTGCCTTGATTACTTCTGGTCACAGTAATCTCTCATTTCTCTAGAGCTTCCTATATTTTAAGTCACATGTTACAAACTCTCCAGCTCAGTTTCATGTATATGTGTCTTGCCCCTCCATTTGTAGTCTATGACCTAGTTGGCAAAGTGTTTCTCACAACAGTCAAAGTGCAAGACAGACAGAGGCCTACAGCAGGGGTGCAATGCACACTGACTTGTTTGTTATGCTCTTGCCATTTGTGTAAAGAATAAAAGGTAGGTCTGTCAATCCCACCCCAGTCTTCCTCTCTCCCCCTTACTAGCCTTGCACAGCCAGCTCCTGGAAAAACCTGAAACAGAAGAGACCTAGAATAAGAATTATAGAAGTAATGAACTTCTTCCTACACTGTCTCCTCATCTGCAACTAAGCACTGCATGTACAGCCCTAGGGGTCTTGATTTATACCTTAGCCAATGACAACTTGTACGTTTATTATAACACTTGTCAGGTGGCAGTTTTACATCTCATTCTATCAAATCAGCACAATGGAATAAATTTCAGACAAGGAAAGTATACTGTGTAAGGAGCAGCATTTATAATCATACATAGGCAATGAAGGCCCTATTACTCTTCAATAATGGGAAGAACTCAAAGCAGCAAATCTTATTACAAAAGTTATCTTACATGCATTCTATAGGCAATGGTTTCCTTTTGTGTGTGTATTTTTTTTTAAAAATATGTTTGTTTATTTTGAGAAAGAGAGAGAGAGCAAGAAGCAGAGGTGCAGAGACAGGGAGAAGGACAGAATCCCAAGCAGACTCCATGCTATCACCACAAAGCCCAACATAGGGCTCAAACCCACGAACCATGAGCCCAAACCAAGAGTCAGATGCCTAACTAGGCCACCCAGGTGCCCCTATAAGCCATGGTTTCTAAACGTGACAATGTGACTGTGGTTGTGATATCTACCGCCTACGGGCCCACAAAGAAAATAAAGCAGAACCAAGGAGAAAAGGAATTCTCTAGTCGAAAAAGAGGGAAAAGTCTTTCAAGGACCCACAACACAGGTGATTCTAAAGGCAGAGTCCAGAGTCTACACCTCAGCTCTGTGCTTTAACAAACACGGCAAGCAGGTATGTTCTTCCTTTTGGAGCCTCAGTTTCCACATCTCTACACTCAAGATGTCAATACAGTGTAGAGTGACAACATGTGCAAAGCATTTCACTGGCCATTAAGAGTCTTGTCACCAGCTGTGTTCCACCCTTGGCAGTCATTCTATCCTGTTTGTGTTTTCTAAATTGGTTTTTATTGTCAAAAATGGTTATCCTAAAAAAATAATCTCTATGCATCCTTACTATCTAAAGAAAAATATGTTTCAAAGCCATAAATATATTTCTGTTTCTTACCTCCTTCTTGATTTATTTCTTCTGAGTGAAAGGTCTTCAATTTCACCAACTGAGCAGTCAATAGTATGCAGTAGTCAAAAATAATGCTTGAAGTTTCTGTAAGACATATAAAAAACTTAACCGCATTTACTTATGGGTCAGGGGATTAGAAGTCAAAGATGGGCAATGAAGCAAGCCCACCTTCTCCAATTTCTTTCTGAGCTATGAACATATATTGAAACAAAAAGTTAAAAAAGTTACCATTAGTCCACAGAACTCAAGAGTTCATGGCTTTATCATAGGAAAGCAGCACTAGGTATTGAAGGCTTAAAACATGAGTCTAAATTCTCACGTCAGCTGGTATCTTAGGTCATCATATGAGTTTCACTACCCTGGATAAAGAACTCAGGGGTCACTAAAATGAGTGAAACACAAAACTTCTAAGAAACACTCAGCTGGTATCCTCTCTTTAATTCTCTGTTCCAGGTATGCATCCACAGGAGGCAACCCTTCCCAACACATCTTTCCCCTCTGCATCTCCATCTCTATTGACAAATAACCCAAGGCACATTAATAAACAGTGAGAAAAGAAACAGTGGGACACATCTCACTTCCTGCCATGATTCAGTATGCTCATATCCTGGCTTTTACTAGTCAAGTTTGAAAACCAGAGCAGGATATAAAAGACAGGGTGTCACTGACACATATCACTCCTCATACAAAAAATTTTTCCAAAGGATTAAAGATTAAAATGTAAGAAAAATGAATCTTTTAAAGCACTAAAAGAAAATATGCATGAACATTTTAGTAGTTCTGAAATGGGGAAGAGTTTTCAATTACTCAACTGTAAGGAAACAATCTAGAACCCATAAAGGAAATTTTGATCAAATAAAAATTTCAAAACTTTCTTGAACAAGGTTAAAAAGCAAAAAACAAACAAAAAACTGAAGGAAAAAAAACATAAAAAAAACACAAACAAGGATGAAAGTTTAAAAAACAAAGTGGGGAAAAAGAAAACACCTGAGATTTATGACAAAGATTTGTAAGCCCAAAGAAAAAAAAAGAATACATACAAATTAAGAACAAGATGAAGTCTACGTGAGAATAAACGGTGAAAGAGAAATTCTCAAGAACTACAAATGATCAATAATAACACATGTTCAAACTTACAAGGAAGCAGAAATACTGACAAAAATCTCAAATCAGCAAATTGTAGAGGAAAAAAACCCATGACAATAGTCAATATATGTGAGGGAAAAGGTATTCTCATGCACTCTAGAGGGAAATTTGAAAACATGTATCAAAATTTTAAATGTGTACACTCTTTAACCAAGCAATTACCACTACTAGCAATTTATCCTAAAGAGCAATATGGAAAAGTTTGATTTTAAACATCTCTCAATTCTGAGAATTGAGAATTTAAAAATCTCTCAATTGAGAATTGGTTAAACAAAATTATGATCCCTCCATACAATAGCATATATTTATTTATTATATGCAGTGAAGCTCACCTACATCTTCCCTTGATATACAGCAAATGAAAAATGCAAGGTGCAAAACTGCTTATATGGTATGAGTCCTTAAACCCATACAGTCACATATGCTGAGCAAGATTTTCTAGAAGGATATGTCTCAGTATGTCAATGGTTTCTGCTTTGTGGGATTTCTGGAAGATTTCTTCTTTCTTTCGTTTTTCTTTTTGTATCATTTAGATGTTCCATGCTATTTGTGTATTATCTTTGTAAACAGATAAAAACAAAGCCAGTTTAAAAAAAAAATTTCATGCTTGCATATCTCAAAGTTCAACTGAATGGTAGCAACCAACCGTAAATGAGCAGGCAGGATTCTGAGTTTCATCTTACTTCAGTTCAAAGTGTGACCATGTACGATTCATGATACGTCTATTAGGTATTATTCTCTCTTATTTTTATTTCAGTAAATATTATCTCAACATAGTAAGGAATGATTTTAAAAATCAATTAAATATATAGTAACTCTAAATATAAATCTAACAGGACTTACATTAGCTTATAATAACAGCACTTTACATATAAGCATGTTATGTATACACACACATATTTAAAGAATTGATGAAATGTTTGCAAGTATTATTAGTTTTCCCCCAACAACTCTATACAGTGGGCCAGCTGGTTTTACTATACCTACTTTATAGATAAATTTTAGAGATTTCAAGTGAATTGAAAGTGAAATAAAGACCCTTGCAAATAGACTAGAACTTATAAAGTCCACACACTCTACCTGACAGAAGCATCAACAGAATATATTTTAGTCTGGAGAAAGGTGAACTCAGGAGGAAGGAATGGCATGAAAGGAACAGATGGAAGCAAGGAGATCATTAAAAGACAGTGAAAACTAGTAAGTAGAAATAGTGTAAAACAAAATGAGAAAAGAACAAGAATAAATATGATTTTTGTAATGTGGTCAAAAAAAGTGAAACTAAAATACTATATAAAAATGACATGGTTGCTGTAAAAAGATTTTCACAAAATTAAAACATGTTAATATTCTTACCTAATTCAAGAACAAGGAGAGAGTGATAAACTTTAACACTGTGCAAGAAAAAATCATTTAAGAGTGTACATTAACCTTTAGAGTAACTATTGAAAGAACAGGTATGGAATATGTATCTTCCACACTGATTGAGAAATAAATGAAAGAAAGCAAGCTATCAATTCAATAAAAAAGAAAAAAGCAGATAAAATGCATGGCAAATAGAAAACACAAAATATATCAGAAGTAAATATAAATGTACTATCAGAGTAAATATAAACCTACCTACTGAAAGAAATTCTCAACTTGGTTTAAAATTCTGCCATTATACTGCTTATGTAAGATGCATGCCTAAAACAAAACAACATAAAAGTTTTAAAATTAGCAAATAAAAACCATATCATGACAATGTCAATCAGAAGGCTGCTATAGTTAATTAATGTCACATATTTTATTTATTCATTTTTAAATGTTTATTTTTGAGAGGGGGGAGGGGCAGAGCGAGGGGGATAGAAGATCTGAAGCAGACTGCACTGACAGCAGAGACCCTGATATGGGACTCGAACTTATGAACCGTGAGATCATAACCTGAGCTGAAGTTGGACGATTAACCAACTGACCTTTCAGGCTCCATCATGTCACATATTTTAAATGAACAGCACTTGAAAGGGATAAGATTTTGTTACTAGTAAAAGGAGCCATCCAACAATTTAACAATCATGAACCTATATAAACATAAAAACATAGCCTTAAAAACATATAAAGCAAACTCTGAAAGTATAAGTACAAATGGAAAAATGTATAATCCTAATGGGAGATTTAAAAAAAATTTTTAACACTTATTTAGTTTTGAGACAGACACACAGACCACGAGCGAGGGAGGGGCAGAGAGAGAAAGAGACAGAAACTGAAGCAGACTCCAGGCTCTGCGCTGTCAACACAGAGGCTGACATAGGGCTTGAACCCACAGACCGTGAGATCATGACCTGAGCCAGTAAGATGTTTAACCGACTAAGCCACCCAGATGCCCCCATATAATCCTAATGGGAGATTTTTAACAAATCTCTCTAAATCAAGCAGGCAAAAAATAAGGGTATAAGTATTTCAAATAATATTAACAATTTTGATCTAAGAGAATAGGTATTTTATTTCAAAATAAAATATTCATTTAAAAACTGTTCAGGTTATATAAACCATATCAAGAACTTTTAAAACTCAGTTTAACAGGGACTCCTGGCTGCCTCAGTCAGTAGAGGATGCGACTCTTGATCTCAGGATGTTGAGTTCAAGGCCCATGTTGGGTGTAGAGATTACTTATAGAAAAAAAAACACAAAACAAACCTCATTTTAACAGAGGCCACATTATCTAACCACAATATAATTGTGACAAAAACAACTTGAAAAACACATTAAAAAAAAAAAAAGAAACCTATCTGGAAATGCAACACTCCTATACACAGTTTCTGTTTAATCCATAAATTTAAAGAGAATGCCATATTGGAAACTGTAAAATATGTGCAACTGAGTAAGATCAATTTACTACCTTTCAGTGAGGCACTATTACATCAACCACTTAACTGAAAACTATCGGTTTGGGGAGGGGATGAGGAAGAAGCCAAGCATTTTTTTTTTTTCTGCTTTACACAATGATCTGTAGTTCAAGGGGACAAATGCAACAATTGAAGAAGAAAATGCCAGTTATAAATGTCAGTAGAATGACAGAAGAAAGCTATCATTTTGCAACCTCTCATGAAACTATCAATTCAGTCAATGATTATCAGTGTTTTAACCATCAAAGGAAAGATTAATAAGTTACCAAAGTAAACCTCCAAAGACTGCCTTTTATCTGCAGGGACTGAAACAATATAAAATTTACACTGGAGGAATCAGAGTGCTAATCAGCAATCCTAGCATTATACATGATGGACCAAATTAATACTATTTATCTCCTAGTGAGCTACAGTGTAAAATGACAATATTATCTCTGATGAATCCTAACCAAAAATGTTTAACTGGAATCTAATCAAAATTTATGTGAAATACAGGATAGCAGAACAAGCTAAGGAAGGCCGCAGGAAGCACTCAAAGAAATCCAGGAGCTGGGACTGTCAATTAGCATGGTGTCTTCAGCTGATCAGTACCATGAAAAAGGGGATGGCTGTAGTTTAAAAGTGATTTAAGGACACACAGACTGCAATGTATGGTCTTGGACTGGATCCTGAAGAAATCTGAATACAACCTAGATCTTAGGTGATGCCAGGAGGATTATTAATCTATTTAGGTGTGATAATGTTAGCTGGCTACAAAAGAAAATGTTCCCAGATAAACAAAAGTGGTATATCTATACAATGATACTATTCAGCTACAAAAGGAAACAAAGTACTGATATAGGCTGTAACAAATACCAGTTTTAAGAATTCAGGACATGAATGAACCTGAAAAACATTAGTCCAAGTAAAAGAAGGCCAACACAGTAGACCATATATATAAGAGACTGTTAATATGAAAGACTATATATTGTCCAGAGCCAGCTTGGGATTCTCTCTCTCCCTCTCTCTGCCTCTTTCTCTTTCTCTCAAAATAAATAAGTAAACTTAAAAAAGAATTTAAAAATAATATTTTAAAAATAAAGAAATAAAATATTTTAGGAATAAAAACTAAAGAGAGGAAGACAAATTCTTTCTCTCATTCATTTAAGGTGGAGTAGAAAACAGTAACACCTCAATGGAGTGCAATTTGGACACACATACAAATGACAAATACATTTACTCTTTTCTCAGTAATTTTGTTCCTGGAATTTATTTTTTTTTATTTTTTTTTATTTTTATTTTTTTAATGTTTTATTTATTTCTGGGAGAGAAAGAGAGAAGAGAGAGACAGCGCAAGCAGAGGAGGGTCAGAGAGAGAGTCACAGACTCTGAAACAGGCTCCAGGCTCTGAGCTGGCAGTCAGCACAGAGCCCGACACGGGGCTCGAACCCACAAACCACGAGATCATGACCTGAGCGAAAGTCAGACGCTTAACCGACTAAGCCACCCGGGCACCCCTGTTCCTGGAATTTATTTTAGGCAAAGCTATGTATGTCTAAAATGTTAAGGCATTTTATTGTTATTAGCTACAAAATTATAATAGCAAATATTTAGAAATAACCCAAGGGATCATTAATGAGGGAGTACTTACATAAACAATGATACGTCCACGCAATGGAATACTATACAGGTTTTTTTTAAAAAGAATAAAGATGTTCTCTAAGTAATGACATGAAAAAATTTTAGAATATATTACGTGAAGAAGATAATAGAACAATGTTTATAATGTGCTAACTTTTGTGTCAAAAGAAAGAGGAAATAAAAAATATATATTTGAATGTGTACAAGAAAAACAATGAAAAGACAGAGTGGGCAGGGGAATGGGGTGGATCAGAAAAGGAATGAGAGCATCTCTTTTTTATATTACTTTGCTACATTACTTTAAAAAAACACATGAATACATTAAAATTCAAAACAATGAAAATAAAAATAATTTCCTCCCCGTTTTAGAGTGCTACATATAAGGGGTGCCTCAGTGGCTGCATTGGTTGAGCATCCACCTTCAGCACAGGTCAGGATCCCACATCTGTGGTTTCGAGCTACATCGGGCTCTGTGTTGACAGCTGAGAGCCTGGAGTCTGCTTTGGTTTCTGTGTCTCCCTCTATCTCTGCCCCTCCCCTGCTCACACTGTCCCTGTCTCTGAAAAAATAAAATAAATGAACTGGATTTGTACACAGAATTATCAATTTGGAGAGTATTTAAAAATAAAATGTTGAGTAAAATATACAAGATGAAAAATTAAATATATATGTAATACAATTTATATAGTTTTAAATGGCACACAAGAAACAGCTTTCAAAAGCAGCTATGCACACAAAACTATTTTTTTTAAGTTTATTTATTTTGAGAGAGAAAAAGTGAGCAGGGGAGGGGTAGAATCTCAAGCAGGCTCTGCACTGTTAGCATGGAGCCCAATGCAGGGCTCCATCCCACAAGCCATGAGAGCCACCCAGGTGCCCCTAAAACTATTTTTAAAGAAACTGCAGTAAAAGCTCCCACACTCAGCAGTGTGGATGTTACTGTAGAAGAATAAAGGGGGGTGTGTGGTGAAAAGGGGAAAGAGCCAACTAGCCACAAATACCACAAAGTATTAATTAGCATTTGTTAACTCAGGAAGATGCAAACACAGGTATTCTATTCTATTTTTAGTTGTCTTTGTATTTTAAACTTACCAAAACAGGAAAAAAAGCATAACAAAAATGCCTGGACATCAGAGTTAAGTGGCTCACCCTAAATCTTGGTTGCAATATTTAATGGTTATGTGACTTTGGGGAAGTTACTTAACTTCTCAAAAATGTCTTTTTTTTTTTTTTTTCAGCTATTAACCAAGTACCACAATACCGATTCAGTTACTGTGAGGTTTACATGAACAACACGGACTATTTAGTCAGCAAAGTCAGTAGTTTCTGAAGTTAAAGTGACACTCAGGTATGTAAACATGGACACACTATGAGGTCACACAGAAATCAAGCTGGCCTGGTCTGAGACTTAGGATTGATTCACAGCTGGACAGTGGGAAGGCGCTCACCTAGCGCAAGAATAAGCTTTGGGAGGTCTGGCACTGTTCTAAGTCCCATGTCCCAGGAGAAGGACAGAAAGAACCTAAAACATCGATGAATAGAAAATATAAAAAGGTCCAACAAGGAAATACATTTATTATTTTATTCCTGACTTCTTCAACAATAATATCATATATCACTGTGAAGAAATTACATTTATAATTTTAAAATAATTTCCATTTGATAAAAGATAAACTTGTGGTCATATTAAGTAGATGTGCATTAACCAACTAGATTTTAAATAACTTACTCTAAGCAAATCATCTTCTCTATCCCATAAGCCCAGCACAATGCTGGGTGCACCGCTGGCCACCAATAATTACAAGTCGATTTGGTGGCTGATCCATAAAAGCTGAAAAAACATTGCAAATAATAGAAAAGCCCAGAAAACTTCCAGAAACAAAAGAGGTTGGCTGCGCCCAATGCTTTAGAAGAGAGCAGAAGAAGTGAGATGCAGATTTCTTCTCCTCAGTTATTAACACCAGAACTTTCTGGCACCAAAGATTGATGCATTTATGTCTTATCCACAAGTGTTACGGAGTCTTCAAAAGAGTTCTGTGGACAACCCCTACCCCCCAAAAATAACTCAAATGAACTTAAATTGGTATTTTTTAATGGAAGGCTTCTCAGCTTTTAATATGCTAATACACATTCTCTGAGAAGAGGATATATCATGCAATGTTTCCTAAATCTATCTGAAGA